CCCCAAAACCCCAAAACCCCAAAACCCCACTGATGAAAGAGTTTGTTTCAACTATAGTGATCGATATTTAAAGTATTATATAATAGGAGCTCATCGATTTGAGAAAAATCTTAATTAATAATTATTTCTTTCATTCTTAAAGAAGGATCTCAGTTAGCAATGTTATCAAAGTTCTTGTCAAAGAGTAAGCACATCTCTTGATTAGGCCCATTTATTAACTCATATTTACTATAGGATTGTTTGCCGCCTAGGGTAAGACTACCACAGGAAAAATTTCATAGGTTATCGGTGCCGTCGTCGATGTCCATTTCGATGGTGCTTTACCACCCATTTTGAATGCTTTGGAGGTAGAGGGAACTCAACATCGTTTGGTTTTGGAAGTCGCCCAACATTTGGGTGGTAACAACGTCAGAACTATCGCCTTGGACTCTACTGAAGGTCTAGTTAGAGGTCAAGGAGTTCTCGATACTGGCTCACCTATTCTCGTGCCAGTCGGTCCAGAGACTCTTGGAAGAATTATCAATGTCATTGGAGAGCCAATCGATGAGAGAGGTCCAATCAACACTACCAAGTATAGACCCATCCACAGAGATGCACCCGCTTTCAGCGAGCAAGGTTCAGGAGCAGAACTTTTGATTACTGGTAAGTTTGATTTCTAAGATACTACTATTTTCTTGTTTTCAATTCAATATTAATAATAATTTATAGGTATTAAAGTCGTCGACTTATTGGCCCCATATGCAAGAGGAGGTAAAATTGGTCTTTTCGGTGGTGCTGGAGTCGGTAAAACTGTACTTATCATGGAGCTTATTAACAACGTCGCCAAAAAGCATGGTGGTTATTCAGTCTTCGCTGGTGTCGGTGAAAGAACTAGAGAGGGTAACGATCTTTACCACGAAATGATCCAATCAGGAGTCATCAAGATTGACGAACCAGGCTCCAAGGCTGCCCTTGTGTATGGTCAAATGAACGAACCCCCAGGTGCAAGAGCTAGAGTCGGACTTACTGGTCTTACCGTTGCTGAGTACTTCAGAGATGAGGAGAACCAAGATGTGCTACTTTTCATTGATAACATCTTCAGATTCACTCAAGCCTGCTCAGAGGTGTCTGCCTTGCTCGGACGTATTCCATCTGCTGTCGGTTATCAACCAACTCTTGCTACTGATTTGGGAGCTCTTCAAGAGAGAATTACTACCACCAAAAAGGGTTCAATTACCTCTGTGCAAGCCGTCTACGTGCCAGCTGATGATCTTACTGATCCAGCCCCAGCCACCACATTCGCTCACTTGGACGCTACTACTGTCTTGTCAAGAGCCTTGACTGAGTTAGGTATTTATCCAGCTGTCGATCCACTCGATTCAACCTCAAGAATGCTCGACCCCTCAATCGTCGGTGATGTCCACTACAACACTGCCAGAGGAGTACAAAAGCTTCTCCAAGACTACAAATCACTTCAAGATATTATTGCTATTTTGGGTATGGATGAGCTTTCAGAAGAAGATAAATTGACTGTCGCCAGAGCCAGAAAGATCCAAAGATTCCTCTCACAACCATTCTTCATGAGTGAGGTCTTCTCAGGCAAACCAGGAAAATTGGTCGAGCTAAACGAGACCATCGATGGTTTCGGTGCTCTCCTCGAAGGTCAAGGAGACGAGTACCCAGAAGCTTCATTCTATATGACTGGTTCACTCAAGGAAGCTTTCGAACAAGGAAGAAAGATGGCCGAGGCTGCTGCCAATAAATGATCAGTCAACAGTCACTGCTCTCATTTTATTCAAATGAGGTTATTTAAAAATTAACTCACAACTTCAAAATTTCTTGTTTCAAATTATCCATGATTATTATTCATGGGGTTTTGGGGTTTTGGGGTTTTGGGGTTTTGGGGTTTTGGGGTTTTGGGG